ATTCAATAAACATATGATTTACATTATAAAACAAATGTAACAATAATAATTTATTAAAATAATATTATATACATTATCCCTTTATGAGAAATATGTATTAAAGGTGACTGAATAATATATATTTCACTAATTTTTTTATACACGATCTTTAAAAGAATTGTGATATTAAATTCAAAAAATCTATTCAAGCGACAATTTAACTAATTTATTTACTAAATCATTAGCTATCGTTATATTTGAAAAATCGGTATACAATCTTAGAATGTGTTGGTTTAGATAAGTAAATGATGTTTTTATCAAAATTAGTTATTACATATCGTACTATTTTTTCTGATAATATTCTTAACTAGTCATATTTTTTATTTTTAAATGAACATTTAAGGACGAGTGTTATGAACTTTTCAAATCTTGTGGGTTATGAATGTCTATATATATTATCGATTCATACATTTTCTCATTCCATAATCTCTTAATTAATATGTCGTTTATTTTTAATTTAATTCACAATCTCGTCTACCTAAACTCATATACATTGTGAAAAAACTTTATAATATGATGAATTTGAATAAATATTTATTATCTACTTATATCCTTCTCTTATTTCTTGCGTATTTTTCTATTACATTACTACTATATTTTTTCAATTTTATGACAACTTTCATATTATTACAATCGTTATTAACTTGCTATTACATATACACGCACAAAAAACTATATGAATTTACTTTAAATTCAAATTTTACCTTTCATCTCATAACATGGTATAGGTTGATACGATACAATATTAAATAATTCATTATAAATTTATAAAACATCAAATAATTGAAAAATATTGTTTGATATAGCAACTTAATAACATTTCGAGAAAGTTATATTCATTATTTATATTAATTATTTGGTTAAATGAAGAATATTACTTGCCGTTTCTAGTGATAAGCTTTGAGAATTTATTTTTGAGGAACGAGCATAGTTTACTATATATTGAATACTATATATTTTGCTAATTTATAACTATCGTTAAATTGATCACGACCTTATTCGTAAAAAGCAATTCATTATTAGTTAATATAAAATGACACCATATACATGTTGATTTAAACAATCGGCTATATGAGTTTCTTTACATTCAAATATCATACAAATATATATATATATATATATATATATTGTCTCAATATAATTTATAGGTTAGCTTGATTAGGACATGAGCAAAAATTTAAATTATGTAAATTGAGTACATAATACATAAATAAATAAATAAATATTAGACATTTTATGTGATAAACCATTTTACAATTTTTTATAAAAAATTGTTTTATAGTAGGGACATCAAATTTTGATTTTAATGTAAAACTAAGGTCAAATGTTCATACTCGAGTTTAATTTTAAATGCTATAGGTTACTATGTGAATAAACCCATGAAAAAAATAATTTCCAAATCAAATTTTATATAATTTTTTTATTTTAATACGTAATTTATATATTAATTTAAATACGTAAGATCTTAAATAATATATTTTAATTTCGTGATATCACATGACTCGAATTATTATATAATCTATTTACGTGACATAAAATACATAAACAAATAAAAAAAAAAATATACGATAAACATATACGGGTTACAATACGAATAGTTGCATAAAAAAAATTTGTTTCCAAATCAAAATTTATATATATTTGATTTCAATACGTAATTTATTTAGTAGTTTGAATATGTAAGATAAGAAGCAATATATCTTAATTTCACGTGATTATAATATTTCATGATTTTAAATTATTATATAATTTATTAAACGTGACAGAAAAGACGCAAACACAGAGATATTTATATAAATTCATTTCAAATTCAAATTTTATTTTTTATTTTTTTAAACGCAATAAGTATATTCGGGGAAGTATAAAACTTTAGATGTCGAAAAATAGGCATGCTTTATGATAAAATATTTACATATAAAATATTTTAGATTTTAATAAGACATAATTTTATTTTAAGGAGTAATTTAAGTTTTGATATATGAGATTAATTAATAATAATAATTCACTTATTATCCTTAATTATAGGAGGCTTGGGATAAGTTGCAACTTCCCTAAGTAGGTAATGTGGGTGAAGTGTCACCTATTTTCAGAAGGACTACGATATTAATAAATTATAAAAAGTATTTGCCTTAATTAATGATGTTTATATATAATTAATGTTAACTTAACCCCCAATTAATGTCATAAATACGATTCTGTTCTTTTTAGGAAAACCTTTTTTCTTTCATTTTTTTTTAAATTTACATATGTTTAATTAATTTTTTATTTAAAATAATTATATTTTAAATATATAATATAACAACTCACATTTTTAATTTGTACGTGTCATCTCTTTATCAATTCGAAGACATCTAATGAAAATTTTGAACAATATAGAGAAGATTAACACGATCCTTACATAAAAACGACGCGTACAACTCGAGAAAACAGATCGTTACACGTAAAATACGCGATTAGATCACAAATTGAAATATTATCTATAAAACATAGTTTACTCATAAAAGAAAACGAGGGAAACCTTATACTCCCATATTGCCTTTACTTAATTAACAATATTGTTTTATTGTATATTGATTATATATATATATTCGTATATTTAAGTGCCATGTGAAATCGAAGTGGGTTGAGAATAAGCAAATTTCTAGATGCAGACGCAGACAGGGAGACATGGGAATGGAGAAGAAGAAGGAAAAACGACAGAAAGAAAAAAAATAGAAGAAGACAAGAAAACGAGCAAAGAAAAAACATGGGCGGTCGCTATCACTCTAAGTGACGTCGTTTCATTTTCTCAGGAACAAAACCCGCGTGTGGTCCCCCCCCCCCCCCCCCGGGGTTCCTTTATTATATTTGACTAAGGAACTTAAATTTGTATTTTTTTTTTTTTTTTTTTCAAAGTTCACATTTCGAAAGCATGTGAACATAATTAAATTTTTTTCTAAATTCACACACTATTTTTTATTAATAAAAATATCAGATAATATTTTTTTATTATATTATAATTACACTGTCGATATAAAAATTATATATATATATATTCTAAAAGTGGGTATTTTCCAATCCACTGATTTCACTTTCTAATTTTCTTACCTATCATAACACCATTTTAAACTCTATATATATAATATTTGATTCAGATTACAGTACATTCCCACAAATAAAATTAATTTATTCTAAAAGTATTATGGTATATATATATATATATATATATACATACAGAATTGAGCATATAATAGGGAGGTGTGTGCCTGCGTGGGATCTGGTGCTACAGCAAAAGTTAAATCTCCATTTTTTTTTCAAACTTTGTTCCTTAAAATTTTCAGAGATTAAAATATTTGCATGTCTGTGGTGTATGTAATGATGCCCGCTGGCTTAATCATTTTCCAAAAGAAAAAAAAAAAAAAGGAGAATGATTTGATGAGGGAGGAAGGTTTTGATTGTGTGTGATTATTATGGACCAAACTTGACTTCCATTTCATCTTTTTTGAAAACTCAACACCCCAAAACTATAATTATAAATAAATTTTAACACAATTAAGTTATCGATTTAATAAATTAAAAAAATTTATATGCATCGGTTTCGAATATAAATACCCTTTTGTCAAAGTTCATTCGAGTTTTTTTTTTTAAAATATATTATGAATTATTTCAACGCTGTAACGATTGATATTTATTTTTTTCTTATTTTGAAAAAATAAAAACAAGTAAAGTTATTGTAACGATAATCATCTTTCGGCTAATCTAACTTCTTTCGTTTTATTTTTTGAGACCAATCAAGGGTAGTATAAAAATATTTATCTATTATATATTAACTGTGTCTTTCGGCATGATCTTAGACCCTGACTCGCCACGAATTATGAATAATTTAATTTGATTAAGATATTAGAATATTTATACAAAAAATTTGTGGTTAAAAATTGAGATTGTGGTAAAGCCAAAAATTGAAAAAGAAAAAGCAAAAGATAAATTTTGAAGGAGGTTGAGTAGAGGAAAAGAAAGGCGATATAGATTGATGATATAATGATGATTGGCATAGAAGGAGCTGCCTGGTTTTTGCTGTTCACACCCATGTGTTAAAACCAAAAAAAGGAGACTACTCCCCCCCACCACCACTCTCTTCTTCAAAAAGGTCTAAGCCTGCCTCATGTGAAGCCCTCTTCTTACTTTCACATTTATTTTCTTCCTCACACCCTCAAATTTTTGTCACCAACAAAAACTAAAGTGATTGCTTTGTTATATGTAGATATAAAGGTGATCGTGTTCATACTTTTTGAGCTTACCCATGTTTACATTTCTTTATATGTATGTGGTTAAAAAGGTGAGATGGGCATCTGAGGGATGCCTTTTGGTGAATTAGGAATGACCCAGATTCAACTATGAAATTGTTGACAGAAGAAGTGGGTCAAGAAACTTTTGCTTAAATTAGAAATTTCACATCAGGGTTATTATCAGAAACCATTAACAATCAAAACGTTGGAAATGCAGGTAAATTCTCTGTTAAAAGTGCTCAGGAAAAAAAAAAAGAAAAAGAACCATCCCAAAACGACGTTGCAGTAGCTATAAACCATATAATAATAGTTTTGACAAGAACAGGGGAAAGTGAAAGAGAGTTCTTAGTTGTTAGGTCACTACGTTCAATCATGCCAACCATCTTCTTCTTTCTGCTTACAGGCATACAATATATATATATATACATATATAAATGTATATGAACAAATCATTATAATGATTCTTGTTGCTATTTATATATCCAACTTTTTGCTTTGTGTCGGTTAGGCTTATTTCAGAATTAGGATAAGACCTAGATGACTGACCCACCCAGGACTCAATACCCTACTACTCACTCCACCCAAATCATCATCTTTCTGTCGCTACCTGGGGAGATATAATCATAAACATAATTCAACTTTCAATCTTCTTATTTCAATCTTTGAAACAGATGTTACTCGCGCTAATGTCCAGAATTTAACAGGAAGTAACACTAATATATTTCTTCCCACAAACAAGATACACAACGCTACATACATATATATATATATATGTATGTATTAATTACATGCCGAGGGTGCTAAGGTAATCGACCTTTGGTGGCGGGTATCTGACGCGGGGAGCGGTTAGAAAGACGAGGTTGGTGCTTGGGCTGACCCTGACGACTAGACGAAGAAGAAGAAGAAGGTTTGGGTTTGTCCTTGACTGCCCTGATCTGATGCAGAGTGTTGACTACTTGTTCCATTGATGGGCGGTTCTTTGGGTCGGATTCAAGACAGCGTAGTACGAGCTCGGCGGCCTGTAAAGCGGCGGCGATAGGGTAGTTACCGTCCAGGGTAGGGTCCATAATTTTCTTGAGCTTTCTCTTGTTGGACAAGGAAGGCTTGGCCCAGTCCACTAAGAAGTACTTGGAAATGGGCTGGTTCGGGTCATAAGCTCTCAAGCCCGTTAACATTTCTAGCAGCATCACACCAAAACCATACACGTCGCTTTTCACATATAAGTGGCCTGCCAAACAAATGGGTCGGATCGGGTTGAGTCCAATCGGATCAAATAAATTCCGATAGTAACTATATATATATATATATATATTATATGTATCATGCGCTACCTATATGGTATAATTTTTATAATTATTCTTTTATTAACAAAGATTACGTAAAAATATAAAAAAATATTATTTCATAATTTATAATAAAAAATCTAGTATATAAATTATTAAAATAGATAATAAAAATTAATCACATGATAATATTATTATCGTTACATTCACATTTAAAAATACTTAAATTAAAAAAAATATTATATTTAAAAATATTTTTATACAATGTATAAATATTAATACTTACATAGGTTTAAAATTGTACGTGTGTTTTTACCTGTGGAAACATATTCAGGGGCTGCATAACCACAGGTGCCCATGACTCGCGTGGTGACATGCGAGTTGCCATTTATTGGGCCGTGTTTTGCGAGCCCAAAATCTGAGAGTTTAGCGTTAAACTCCTGTCAAAACATGATTAGCAATAATTAAATCAGGATAATGGAATTTACAAAAAGTAAAAAGTAAAAAAAAAGAAAAGGTAAAAAATTATATATATTACTGAATCCAGTAAAATGTTAGCGGACTTGAAGTCACGGTAAATGACACTTTTCTCCGACGTGTGCAAAAACGCAAGCCCCTGACCTGCTCCGATCGCTATCTTTAGCCGTGTATCCCATGCCAATGGCTCTGCACCCTCTGCCGTATATTATAAGAACAAACATATACAATATTACTGTAAATTTTGTACAAAAAAATACACACTCTTATAACATAATATATATATATATATATATGATTCTTACTTCGAAAAAGGTGGCTTTCGAGGCTCCCTTTTTGCATGTATTCATAGACGAGAAGGAATTGTTGATCTTCCCAGCAGTACCCCAGTAGTTTGACCAGGTTTGGATGAGAAAACTTCCCCAGAAATTTCACCTCTGACTGCGTCCGTCCACGCATTTCGTTATATACACACACATATATATGTAGGTATATAGTTATAAAAAATAAGCATGACTCAAATTTTCAACTGAAAATATTGTATAAGGAAACTAACTACATTCACCAATCTCATTCACACGGTTCAAAAGTCAACCACCTTCGTGGAAATGAAGAAAACTGTTGTACGTTGCCGGTGATTAAGGATGACGTGAGCTTGTACGTCAGTGAATACTTAAATGTATAATTTTCTAATCTTTAATCTTAAGTTAATTACTAATCTGCGTTCTAAATCGCCGATTAGAAAGGTGGTTTAGTGATACGGAGATTTTTTTGAAAAGCAAAATCATTATAATTTATGAGATTTGGTCAAAGTTGGAATGGCAAGAGAAGTGGGAAAACAAGAAGAACGCACTAACAGTACTGACGGCGTATAGAGGGGAGAAGAAGAATACATTCACACGTCGTGGTGATAATTACGTACTTGCCATTCTTCTAAACCTTGCTGGCTATTCGGATCAGATCTTTTGACGGCGACGGCGATGCCGACGCGGGGTTTAGAGGGGGCGTAGGTTTTCTCGTCCAACCAACCCTTGAAAACTTGACCGAACCCACCTTCTCCTAAGAGTGTGTCTGGTCTGAAATTTCTGGTGGCCGCCTTGAGCTCTGCTAACGTGAACATCTTCAAGTTTGGCGTAACTATCTTCCCAGTTTCAGCCACCGACGACGTCGTTTCACTCCCGTAATTTTCTACCTCCGCCTCCCTACTCTTTCTCCCACTTCCGCGTCTCTCACTGCTCGCTCTCTTACCCTTCCTCAACGCGTCATCTACAATTATAACGTTAACGCAAACAAGAAATCATCAACATTCACCTGATGATTACATATACACACAGATAATGTGCAAACATACCTGCAGGGGTAGGGTGGTTGGTGATGGTTGGGCTATGATTATCCACGGGAGTTCCATAACAGTTCCCCATTTTTGCTATAGCCAAACTTTCTCACTCTTGCAGCTTTTTATATGTAAGTATTTGAGCGGGATCAAAGCTGGTTAACTGTTTTGCAGATAGAGGTGATGGGTGTTTTTCCTTTTTTTTCTTTCTTTCTTTCTTAAATAATTATAGTTTCTGGCGCGAGGGTTCGAGGAAGGGTAGGAGAAGGAAGAAAGAAGTAAGCAGGCCGCAATTAATACAAAAATAATCACTGGAATTTGACTTTCGCTGATAGACATTTTTTTTCCTTTTTTTTTTTTTTTAAAAAAAAAAAAAGAAAAATTCATTTTCAAGATGTTAATTTTTCTGTAAAGTATTATTATTTAGTTTCATAATCAAAATTTTAATAATAAAATATTATTATTTAAATATTTAATCTGACTCTGAACATGCCCTTATTTTATACTCAATTTTCAACGTGTGTGTGTAAATTTAGTGACACATTCGATTTTTGATTCACTCGTATATCTTTTGTGAAGTTGTATGTCTCAAATGTATTTGAGTTCCCAAGTTAGAAATATCTTACTTCAATAATATGTGTATAAATGAATTTTTGACAAATAATAGTTTAGTCAAACAGCATTAATAATAATAATAATAATAATAATGGTTATTGAAAATTTAATGCTAGTCTAGAATTTGAACATCATTATTTAATTTCGTGAGAACTGGAAGTAAAATGCACGTCGAGATGGTCCTCGGGAAGATTGGTTGGCTGGCAGGTCGGTCGGTCGGTCTGTTGAAATTATCAAATTTATTACCTACTGAATTTCAATTAATTGCAATGTGATTTTAATTTTTCATAAGAAATTAATAAAATTTTAAAATTACAAATTCATGGCCTAATTTAATTCTCTATTGAAATTCAGGTAAAGCAGCTTTTGACTTTGACTTTGACTCTTATATATATATATATACACACGAGTAATTATCATATGAATAAATACATTTCTTCCTTAAAAAGATCTGTAAACAGTTTTTGCTTTGTAAATATCATACGATACATACATATACAAAATCATAATCATTATTTTGTAAGTAGTAACATATATTAGTAAAAGAAAATAAGTCAGTAAGATAATAATATTAAGTTGAGTTGGAGATAAATATTTTGTATGTTGTATGAACTCGCAAGTCTTATCCAGTTGTGTTCCAACGTCTACTTTTCACAAAAAGACATAATGGTTTTTCTAATATTCAGATTCATATTGACTTTGTATGGAGGATGGCAGTCAATCATAAATACGAAAAGAAATTATGTATCTGCAACACGATCTACACGTATTCATTTTCCTAATAATATAAATTTTACTTACAGTTGCATACGTCGGGCGTTGTATGGTTCAGAATCCCAACACCACCAGTGGGAACAGCTTTAGAATGTTCCAATACCAAACCATTCAATCATGGTAGTTGATACTACCACTCGACCAAATCTAAACAATAAAAAGGCAGGCAGCAACAAAGTAATTCAAATCAGGAGATTTAGAAGAAGAAGAAGAAAAAAAAAAAAAGCTGAATCACACTTTGTATTCCTTTTCTCTCAACTTCCTACTACTGTTGTTTTAGTTCATCTTTTCTATTAAAGAGAGAGAGAGAGAGAGAAGAAAAATAAACACTAGACATTGCTCCATGTACGAAACACAATTTCATCTCCAGAAAAATCAATAAATATGGAGTTATCCACAGGTTTCTTAACTATGAGAACCGCCAACTAGGAGGTATATGAACAAAGGCACCATTTGGACTCAGGCTCCAAATTTAGGTAAACAGTCGATGAAGCTGGCTTCTAGCCATGGGCACCACCGCGATTTCCTACCCAGTTTATGTACATACTTTTACATCATGTCTGTATAAGCCCTCTGCTTGGTGCAAATATATTATAGATCGGCAAAAGATCGAGTTTGGAGATTTTTTTTTCCCTTCTGTTGAGGCAAGGAACCTGCAACCACATCATTGGGAAAAACACCAGTACTTAAAATGCATATTCGCTATCCATTAGGAAAATATATATATATAAATATATATATATGTACTGTTCAATGACCCCAACAACAATCTTAATATAAAATAAGAGAATAAAATTAAACCACATTTTAAATGCAAAAATTTACCCATATATAACATGGTTAAGAAGAAGAAGAAGAAGAAGAAAAAGGAAAAATAAATAAATAAAATCACCACTGAATTTTATTTTCCTTTTATATTACATAGGTTGTAATTTAGGTGTAATATCAGTTATTTGCCGAAAAAAGAAAATTAGTTTCTTCTTTTTTTCATTAAAGAGCCGGTAATATATCATGAGTTAAATAACTTTCTACAGAATACCATGAGTTACTTACTGTCATCAGAGTGCTTCTGCAGGTTGAGTCCAAAGGAAAGGAACTTCAAGCAGAAGATACACGCTTTCTACAGGGTTCTTGAGAATGTTCACCCCTTTCCTGCGGCTGTCTAGGCGATGAGCATGAGGCACTGCTGGCTCCAACAGATTCTGGGGTGTTACTCTGGGTTGCCAAATATTCAAGTGCAATAACGATATCGCTAATAAGAGGCCGGAAATTAGCTTCCTCATTAAGACACATTGCAGTTATTGCAATTGCATAGTTCAGACAACGACGAGGAAAGCGTCCTTGCATGAGAGGATCAACCAGGTAGCCATACTTCTTCTGATCCTTGAGAAAAGGACGAGACTGCATGGGAAAAAAGAAATTAGAAATTAGCATTTAATGACAACAATATATGGAAAATCACTAATTTAGGAATTCTACCTCGTCTTACTTTTTTGTTGTAATCAACTTGTTTTAGAACATAATTACCTAGGAAAGAATTTAATTGACAAGTCGACGATGTATTAATGAATCTCTCATCCAAAATCTAGATGCAAGAAGATCAACATAAAACTAGGTTACCATGCACAGAGTGTACTTTGTGGACACGGGGAGAACTAACAAACAATCTGCCTCAGGAAAACCATCCTCAATTATATGACAAAGAAATCAGAGTAAAAGGAAGTAAAGGAGTTTTAGTTTTATGGAAGCTGTTGATTCAAAGATAGACATGTTCCCCCATTACATGATTCAAAGATAGACATGTTCCTCCATGTCATAGGACAATATCACAGTGACCTACTCACCCAAGCAACAAGGTTCTGCTCTCCACGCCTTTTAGTTAGATCTATAGCCTTCCGCCCAGATATCAACTCCAGCAATACCACACCAAAGCTATAAATATCTGATTTAAGAGTCAATTTGCCACTCATCGCATACTCAGGAGCGCAGTATCCATAAGTTCCCATCACCCTGGTTGAAACATGTGTTTTGTCACCAACAGGACCCAACTTGGCAAGTCCAAAGTCTGAGAGTTTTGGGTTGAATTCATCATCCAGTAAAATATTTGCTGACTTTAGATCACGATAAATAACTGGCGGATTAGCTCTGCAGTGAAGATACTCAATACCACGAGCAGCACCAACTGCAATCTTAATGCGAGTGTTCCAACTAAGAGGCTCTTCTTGACCAGGTTCAAGATCTAACATCAATGGTTAATAAAATTGATCATTTCAGATTATATAATTGAAATAATCTTAAAATAGGGAAAAACATAAAACCAGATAGCACAAGTGCAGAAGGGAGGACATTATGGAATTTCAACAAAAAGAAACAGACTTGTATAGGTAAGTATGCTGATAGATGTTAAAAGATCTAAGACTATTGGATACTAAAACTATCTCACCTATCCTTAATAAAATGAGAAGAAAGTTATCAATGCAGGCAATAAATCAAATTTCAACACATGGGGTCTCATCAATCCAGTTGAGAACAAGAAACTTTAAACACCCATATTTAAGAGTTCTGGATTGTAATCATTATTTTCGGAGTACATTGCTATCATGGTAGTAGGACAAGATTGGTAATGCCTATAAAGTAGCTAGAAATAAATTAAATTCCAAAATCAAGCCATAAAGACCAATTTGTTCTTCAGAACAATTATATTTCAATCAAGGGCAAGGTGGGGGCTACATGAAGAGGAATGCCCGTACCCAAACTAGTGAGAGCATTCCATTTATTACTGATAATCCATTTACTTATCTGTCTGCATAAAAGCATAAAATCTGTTGGTTTTGGAGTCTCTCCCAACATAGCTATAGAGCTTAGTGCAAAACAGTCCAGCAGTTATCTGTACTTTTCAACTTCTCATCTACTATCCGATATGGATCAATGTATATCCATGTCACATGCTCAAGCAATTATTTAAATGATCCAATAAACCTGTCCTAGGTTGTTCCTAACATTGCAGGAAAAACGAAACCAACCACGATTAATGTTAACCAAGTAGACATTAGTTTCGAAAAGGTAGTAAACTTCCAACCAAAAAATGTGTAGCGAGATCAGCAAAAATTCTTGCAGTTTAAAATAAAAGAAATAAAACTGCAAAAGGGAACAAGCTACAATACGAAATGAAAATGACTAGCAACTGGGGAAGTCAACAGTAATTTACCAAAAAGGTGATCTTCCAAACTACCCCTTGGCATATATTCATAAACTAATAGCCTTTGATCTCCAGCAGTACAGTAACCAATCAGTGTAACAAGATTGGCATGATGCAATAGGCTCAGCATGAGAACCTCCACAATGAATTCCTGATTACCCTGGAGACCCTCAGGATTGAGTTGCTTAATGGCCACAATCTGCTCATAAGATTGATTAATAACATAAATTAAAATTTTAAAGGTTACATACCATAAGAAATAAACCAAAATTAACACCGAAAAATATTGGTAAGATAATTAATAACATAACTTCATTCAATCCAAAGACATTAATTTCAGAGAACTACATGCCAAATTTCAATTAAATTCTACAAAAACCCTATCCACAGACAATTTGAGAGAGACAAAAGTAATTGGCAAGTGTCTAAATAACCTGTCCTGATTCTAGACGACCCTTGAAAACCCTTCCAAAACCTCCTTCTCCAATCAAGTTGACCTCCTTAAAGTTCCTGGTTGCAATGGCAAGTTCTTTGAATGTGAAACTCCTCGCCCCACCAGTGCTATTTCGGATGCATTCCTCCTCAACTGCAACTCCCTTCCCATTATCTGAACGAAAAGAAAAAGAAAACAATAATTAAACACCTCAACGAACAAGACCACAAGCTTATCACCTAAAGTTCACCAAATACAGAGCCTCCCCTCTGTATATAAAAATCCTCACCATTACCAACACGGTTCTGCTTCCCCCTCTCACTAGGACACGCTGAAAATAACAAACACCATGAAAGCAATAAAACAAATGCAAACAATTCTGCAACAGATAACATATTCTTCTCATTTCCACGAGTAGATTAAAGAAAAATACATCAGCCAACCAAAACAGAGAGATAACGAAACCTGTAGATTCAACGGAGTGTCGCGAACTAGATCTGCCGCTTTCAATGTCGACCCTTATATCCTTGGTGCGCGGAGCGAAGCAAGAGAAACAGCTCATCTCTTCTGTCTCCTCTTGAACACACCGCAATCGCACACAAGAATAATAAGAAAACCAGACACCACTGCCAAATCACGCTCCGATATTATGATCAACCAAAATCTCCCAAACACATAATGTCGCAGTTAACGCAAAACGATGCATAACAAAATTAAGAACATTCGAATAAAAAAAAAAGGGCACAGCCGAAGCCCAGACTGGAGAGAAAAAGAGTACGAGTTCTCCTCTTCTCTCCTCCCAGGTATCACGAAAGCGAAACCCTAGAAAAATCTACGAGCTATTCCCTTAAAGATCCCAAATCCACCGAACAGAATTTTACTGAAATTAAAATCGGATTTAAATTTTACAAGATCGCCACAGATAAAAAAAGAAGAATAAAACTATGTACACAACAAAATATAAAAAAAAAAAAATTAACAAAGCTTGAGAAGAAAAATAAATGAAAGACAGGCGATAATTACAACAATACAGGAGGCAGCAGCTCCAAATTCGCAGGTTGGAAGTGTAGATATCAATCAGGCGGGAGAGAGAAGGGCAAATGGGAGAAAACCACGCGTCGGGGACGACACCGCACCATCTCTGTTCTTCACAGTGTGTGTATATATATATATATATATAGGAGATATATTTAGCTAAAAAGGTCAGTTATGTTGTTTTCTCACCGTCTTTTTTATTTTCCATTTTTTAATTTATTATTATTTTATTTAGAGTAAATTAAGCAGCACCTTAAGCGGCAACTAATTATGACGACTTTTTTTTTTTGCCTTTTGTTTTCTCACTGTTGGTCTTCACTTTTTTTTTTTTTTTTAAAATTAAAAAATTTATAATTTTTTTTTTAATTTTTAAAATTCTAATTTTTGTAATAAATTAATAAAATAAAATACTAAATATTAATTAATATTATTTTTAATTTTCTCTCTTGCATTAATTATTTCGTGCTTTCAATTCTCTGTTTCCCATGCCGCGCCCTCCTCCGTCCACTTGTGTATTTAAAGATTCCGGTCCCCCGTGTCTACGAACTTACCATTATACCCTCGAGAAGTTACGTTATTTACCGTTTTGACACTGAGAGAGTGAGTGTTCCATACGTCAGCGGCGCATTGGGAAACGGTGAGGACGAGGGTTGGAAAAACGCGTGATTTTAATATTCCAAGTGGGGATTTGATTGATTGATTGATTGATTGATTGAATATACCGGGGAATCCAATGATTGGTTGGCCTTTAAAACGACAGCGTTTGCACAGATTAAGACATACAAAATGAACGTCAATGTTGCATGTAATATATTTACACACACACACAAATACAAAGTCATCATGTGTTTAACGAGATTTAATTCTAAGTTAGAAACAGAAGATCCATATACAAAACGCGTATCACCGATGATATTATATACATACATACATACATATATATATATATGTAGTTAGTGGTTTGTGAGTAGGAAAATCTGCTGTTTGGTTGGTGGGAAAATAGTTAACTCAACACTGTTTTTACAGCTGAATATTCCCTCTTTGGGTTGGATTTAACTGGACACCACTTATTGCCCCAGAGATGATTAATCCCCTAAACACTAATTAGTTTATTTTTAGATTAAATTTCGAAGATTTAATATAAATATATTTATATTTGTTGGGTAATAATTATGTTTTAATCACTGTATTAAGAAAAATAATTAGTTTCTGGTTAAAAAGTCAAGGCGATGAATTGAATGCAAAGCAAGACGTGTTTTTGGTTTGCTAATAATTAGCGAGATTAGTGAAAGTATCCAATCAGAAAGAAAGCCAAATTTTGACATGATGCCTTATCGTTTTTCTTTTACTTTAATCATGAAACTAAAAGATGAAATACAATAAAGTAATTGTTCTATGTATAATTCATTCAATATACATATATACATATACATATATATACACTTTTTATATCTAATTTGGGATAAGAGTATTTGAGTAATCCTACAAAAATTTTAATTTTGTTATGATTAATAATTAGTCCAATAGCTGTTGCATTCGTTTATTTATAAGAGTTACGAGTTCGAATCAAAATGTATTTTTATGTATTGTTTCTATTGGAAAGTACCCGAACTTACTATTTTTTATAGAAAAAAAAAAGAAGAATTATAAATTATTAAATTGAGTAAATCAACTAATATGTTATTATTTGAATGATTATAAGTCTAACCAAATATAAATTATATATGTATAGTGAGTTGTTCCCGATCTTGAATTGATAAAGTATTATTATAAACTTTCAGTGGTAAAATTAACTTCATCTACATTGAGGTTATTGGTTGAGTTATTTTTTTACTATTGATTGTTCGTTTTTACTTTTTAATTTTTTCAGAGTTCAATTATACGTATAAATAAATTGAATATTGAAAGATTGAACTACACGTAGTTGAAATTGGATATTATAATACTTTTACTTTTATTATCTCGATATTTTATCTTTTTTTTTTTTTGCCTTTTAGATGTACTTTTTACATCTTTCGTTATATACGATGTTATAAATGATTTTCTTTTATTATTTTTTTGAATAAACGTAGATGAATGTCACGATCGTTTATGCATCTTAGTTAGCACATAACACTTGCATGTAAGATATATCTAAAATGCTAGTCCATATTATCATGATAGATATCTTATACCTTATTATTTTTTTTTGTTTAATTTATTTGGCTTAAAATCTCTATTTTCTGATTACCACTCGTCATTGCATCTAATCCCACCTCGATGTGGTATAGATTGGGGCAAAACTCGTTGTCATGCATGTTGAATAGGCATGAAAAAGGTTATTCACATCTTGATTCCATTCATATTGCTAGTTAAATTCTTAATAGTAGATCATTTATAATTCATGATGTTATTTTACATTGTGTTTGCGGTTTAATATGTAACTTAAAATATAATGTTCGTTAAAATTTGTTCGTAATTGAGTTTCTGGGTTCTTTTCGATTAATTTTTTTTTTTACTATTATAAGCATTCATTTCTTCTGATCTTATGGTGGCAATGAATATTAATTTTAGTGTAAGTATAGGAGATATATATGCTCTTAC